TCGAAATAGACTGACTGTTGGTGGATATAGCTATGGTGGGTATTTGACGAATTGGTTAATAACACAAACTACTCGATTCAATGCAGCTCTATCTGGTGCCGGTGCTGTCGAACATGCTTCAGAATGGGGCACCATCGATTTTCCTGTCTTTGAATATTATCTACTTGGAGGAGCTCCTTGGGAAGTACCAAAAATTTATCAAGATCAAGCAGCAATCTATCATTTAGACAAAGTACGAACACCTACACATATAATTACAGGTGGAAATGATGTACGTGTTAGTACTGCACAAAGTTACATGCTTGAACGTGCACTACATTACTTAGAAATTCCTGTACAGTTATTAGTTTTTCCGAATGAAGATCATTCTATCAGTCATAATCCTTGGCATGGAAAAATTAAAGTACGTGAAGAACTCAAATGGCTGCAAAAGTATGGTCATCAATCATTTGAAACGGTGATGAAATAAATTCTACTAAACTTTTTACACACATTATAATTGACTGATATGAATCCTTGAAATGTATATTTAAAAAAAAAAGACTGTTCAAATACTTGTATTTGTTTCATCTATATATAAGATAATTAATACTATAATAAATATTGCTAATTAGTATGAATCTAAAATTGAATATTTCATTACTAACGAAGCAAGATCACTAGATGCAACTACGTTTTCATCTTTTCAATCCAATTGAATCTGTTAATGTTTCCTCAAAAGTATTTCTGAAGATCCTAAGATGTGTTGATATAATTATATTTTGAAGGTTTTACAGAGATATTCAGATTTCCTGATGAACTTTAGAAATTTTTCTAGAAAAAACACAACTATATCGAATGTGAGTGTGGGTATGGGTGTGCGTGGGTGCGTGGGTGGATGTGAGTGTGGGCGGGTGTGGATGTGGATGTGGGGTGAGTGTGGGCGCGGATGTGGGTGTGGGTGGGCGTGGGGTGCGGGTGTGCGTGTAGGTGCGGGATTTGGGTGTAGGTGTGGGTGTAGGTCTTCATTTTATCTAAGCTTCCACCCACACCCTACCCTCTTTCATCAAATTCAATCGATCATTTCAAGTATTAAATTAGCCAAATTCAACCTTAGTGATGACAATAGGAGATGAAGGTGTGCAATTCTTAATGGATTATGGTGTGAATTGAAACTTCTTCGTCTATCAAGTAATGGAAGTATTAGTAATTGAAATGTCAATATAATGATTCGAATGTTGAAATAGAATCAGACACTGATGGAGTCGGATATTCTATCGGTTTCATCTTTCCAAACATGGAATAACAGGACTTTTCTACAGTGGAGTTTCTTCAAACGAAGATTAACGACAATTTTAGATGGATTTGAAAATCATTAAAAACATCTTGTCGGTCAAAATAGATTCGGTAAAGGTATTAATTTGATGAAATATAAGATGATTAATACATTTTCTCATCTTCATTCTCAAGAGGTAATCATAGAAGAAGAAAATTAGATTTATTTGTCATCATGATCTCGTTTGAAGGAATTAGACTCACTTTCATCCTCAAAATGGTATGAATGAAGTACATTTGTCTTTTTAGACTTTATTAGGTCGGATCAAGCGCAAACACGCTCGATCCAGGAGAAAAATAATCCACAGGCATCAGTTCGATGAAAATCGATCACTAACACACGCACTATCAAAATGCCTCTGCCAGAGGATTTTCGTTTTTTTTGCTCAATGAAATCTCTGTGGTTTTACTTTGCTAGTAGACAGCATACAAACAATCTCTAATAGTCATATGACAAGCAAATATTGCACGACAACGGTTCTCATCGTGATGTAATGATGACTCAATTCTCTTCTTTTCTGTCAGATGATGATAAAACTTTGTTTTTTTTAATATTCATCCTAGCCAAAAAAAACCAAATTAGAGTTAGAGGATAATAGAAGATGAATAATCAAAGGTAGGACAGAACTTACGAAAGTGTCGGTTGAAAAAAACGCGAAAAGAAACTACATGCAAAGACATTTTATTTGATCTGAAGAAGAATAAAAGCAAAGTTAAAATACAAATTTCATCATTTACCATTGGACGATGTCAATTCAATCGATATCATCTCTTCTTACACTTCCAGTGGAGGTTCTCTATGGCATTTTGGGCCAACTTGATGCAGAAGATATTGTTGTTTCATTTCGTTATGTTTGTAGATGATTTTATGCGATGACCAATACCTATAATCGATATACAATGAAAATAACAAGTGAATCACAGAAAACCGATATTAATCTTATCTGTCGAATAGTTCCATTCGAAAATTTCATTTCATTGGTCATTCGAATCACTTGTGATATGTCAACTCCTTTTCTATTGTCTCTTTCATCGATCCATATCGATTACTTCACTCAACTTCGTTCGTTGAGAATTTATTGCAACAACGAATGGAACCTAAACAACGTCTTGTCTTCTATTCCTTCCATCTTTACTCTCACTTCACTATCACTAATTATGAAGAACAATAATCCGTTACAAGATGAGACAATTGTTCGCCTTTCTTCGATTATTGGACCGTCAAAATTTCATCAGCTCATTTTGTGTGTTGATATATCTACAATGAATAAAATAAATTGGTCAAATTCATTTCAACTCCATCGATTATTTATTAGAGAGTGTTTTTATCAACAAGTTTGTTCTATTCTTTATCATTTATCAAATCTTCAAACATTTTCATTGACCGTTTGTTATATCAATGAAACTATTCAAACGATCTTTTCAAAACCAAATCTTCGATTGACTTCGTTGACATTGAGAAATGCGAGTATGTCAATTGATCAACTTGAATTGCTTCTTTTGCTGACAGTCTCACTTGTTCATCTCGATCTAAATACTAATCGACAAGTGTCATTCAATTTCCTCCAACGTTTCTCTCCATGGGAAATATTTCTTTGTCAAAAACTTCGTTTACTTGAAAAATTTAAGTTTGTCATTAATATTTGTGAGTATCAGTTTGAAGCTATTGAATCGATTCTCACTGCTTTTCGTATACCATTCTGGTTAGAGGATAAACGTTGGTTTATTACCTGTCAATTAATTGCCGATAATGTATCAAATTCTGGTCTTATTCTCTATTCATCTGAAGGAACATGGAATGAATTTCCTTTCAATACTCGAGAAAGTATTTTATCATACTTTACTTTTATTAGAAAAGATGATAATGCAGCAAATATGAGCAGTAAATGGTATGTTCGTTCCGATTTGGCTCGAATGGTAGCAGCGGTTTGTTCAAAAAAGGTATTTGTAATTGTTTCAACGACACTTCATTTTATCTGTTTTTTAAAATTATATATCGATTTCCTTCCGTAGAAAGTTCTCTCTCTCTCTCTCTGATCATTGGATAGGAATCTACGTCTTTAGTGGAAAGAATGATGCATGATTTTGACAACTTCTCATAGCTATTGAGTAAAAATGATTCGCAAACATCAAAGGGTGAAAAGGCAGAAATAGTCTTAGTCTATCCGAATCTTCAGAGAACATAGTTTTGGTAGGAATCAGACTGAACTGAATCAAAACATGAAATCACTGCATTTCTATCTGTTATTTTAGTTTCTACCACCAATTCACCAGATTCGTCAGATCTCTCAACTGGCAGTAAACATCAGTGGTAAATGGTGGTCTCATGCATTCGACTGTCTTCCGTTACTTATCGATGTTTCACAACTTGATGAAATCTGGTTGTTCGTCTGAAAAAATCGTCCTTTTTGCATTCGCACCATCACTATTTTGCTCAAACAAGCATGCAATGTTCGCACTCTCAGTCTATTCTATGATGATGATTTGGCGCGATTGATGGACGAAGCATGTTCTATAGTATCCTTTCAAATAGACCATTGAAAACTAAAACCGAAGAGTATTGACAGTACGAAATTAGTCCTCGAACGTGTCAATCATTTGACCAGTGTCACATTTGTACAACATTCAAGGTCATCAAATTCCTTCATGGAAATGACTCAACGGCTCATGAAAAAGAACGATAGTTGACCATAAGTGACAATCATCAATCACTTCAGATAACATTTGAGAAGAATACCGATAAGCCAGCAGAAATGAAAATTGGTCACAAGCGTATGAAGTTGACTCATTATCAATATAATTCCTAATCTTTTTGGATGTTGTTTGAAATTTTTTCGATGTTTATTTAATCTCGAATACTCAATAAACAAGTATTCCTGAATAGGTATTCATTATTAACACTCAGTTTCATCTGAAAAAACTATCATTCTCACCTGAATCCTCACCTTCAAATCTAATTTGCGTGATTATACATAAAAAATGTTCTACTCGACATGTTCCTATTTATTAATGAAATTTAAAAAACTGATGTTGGAGATCTTAATAGCTCACTATGACTTACAAACTCTGAAAGTTTCATCGATTCGAAAATACTTGTGTATTTTGTGGTTGAGTTCCCATGGAATATCTCTAATGTGGGTGAGGGTGTGGATCGTCTCTCAATCTACACCCACACTCAACTTTGCTCATTTCGCCCATCGGTTTTTTTCGACACAAGAGAAGTTTCCTCATTGGCCTAAAAATCCTGATTACATCGCTGTTCCAAAATCATTTTCGATGTCGATGCAGAAGAAGTCATTGGTGCATACATTACAGTATAAATAAGTGAAAATGAATACTCTGTCTAATCAAAAAAAAATAGATACATGGTATGTTTTCTTAATGTAAACAAAAATGAGAATTTTTAAAAAAAGCAGAAAATTATTCTGTATGTTTATGCCTAATTAAAAACGACTAGTAAAAAAAACTATTTCGAACTCATACTTGAGAATCTCTATGTGTAATAAAAATATTTTTGTTAAATTTTTTATTTCCTTGTTGTTTTTTTACCAAAATGATTATTCCAAAAATAGGTGGATGCTTATAAAACATGCAGATTTTCATCCTATGATTGATTCGGGAAATTTTCCAACAGTTAACAGTCGGGTAACTTCCATGCTTTTGTCGTTCTTCTGCCGTCATCATCTCAAATAAAAATTGATTATTTAGAGAAAAAGTTTTGTGCGTTTATTGCGTGTATAAAAACGAACTACAACTATTTAAAATTGATTATTACGAGTATAAGTTTCATGTTTCACTACCTATTTCCAATAGAGGATCCAACCATATGCTAATGAGTATTTCATGAAAAACTAAATGATTTAAAGCTTTATATTCATCAAGAGTGTGGGTGTAAATCTTTTCTTCACCGATTCATACCAATACGCACACGCACACCCACAGTCATCCTGTTCTAAATAGATATGGAAATAAATCTCAATACAAGTAATGTTATTATGAAGTAAGTCAAAATATAAATCATTGTCATAGTTTGAATGAGCGTGTATAATTCAATCATATTTTAAATATAACTCAACTGAATTTAAAGAAAGTCCGTGATGTGCCTCTTCATGTTCAATTGATCTTCATCAATGATAATATCATTTACAATCAAAATTTCATCAACATATTTTCAATGAATTCAAGACTTGATCTAGTAAAAGTGAATGGATCTATTGCGAAGCCTTCGCTATTTTGTTACTTTGAAAATTTGAAATCCTTATCATATTTTAATATGATTCTTTCAATTTTAGATATTTTAATCACAAAATCGTTTAAATCGAAGGATAATCAATCTTTGATCACTTATTAGGATACCAATCCATTTTAATTAGTTTTCATAGTTTCCAAAAATATTTTTTTATTTATATATTGACTAACAAAAAATAATTAAAATAATGGTAGACATCAATACAAGAAATAAAAATATGCTTGATAGAAAATATATTTGTCCTGTATGTTCATTGATATTACGAGAGCCTGTACAATTGACTGAATGTGGTAGTCGACTATGTCAAACATGTTTAAATGCTGAACAAGAGTAAGTTTCATTATCCATTTGAAGTATTAGTATTATTCTTCATTGTTCTTTTTCAAGAACGACAATTAAATGTCGGCAATGTCAAGCAGAAACATCACGAATTGAAGAAAAATATACTTTCATAATCAAAGAGAAAATATATTTCTTCTGTGTAGATGATGCTTGATCAAGGTTTCACAAATGAAATGAAATCTTCTATCTTTTCTTGTTTCAAAGAAACATCTCGATCAATTTCATTCAAATCTAAACTGTGAATATTGTGGTGAACATTTCAACTCAGTTGATAAATTCAATGAACATAAAATCTTTGAATGTTCAAAATTGATTGTTGAATGTATATTGAAAGGCCTTGACAGTAATGAACAAGTATGAGTATTTTTTAGATGCATTTAACATCGAAAAGTTCGTGTTCTTAAGTTTATTCGTGCCAAAAAGGAGAATCATTATTTGATTGAACAGCATCAACAGGCCATATTTAAACTTGTTCGTCAAATTTGATCAAAATTTAATGATAGACAAATGAATATTGATCTTCCTCGAACAACAACTGCAGGAGCCTGTATTCCTGCTACAGCTCAATTTGAAGAAGTTCATGAAATGTTGAATATCTTGGCAGGTGGCATCGAAGCATTGGTCAATAATGAACAACGTCTAAGTAATGAACCACTCTAAATGCAAATTACACTTACAATATTGAAAGAAGAATCATCGAAATTAAAATTATCTATTGAAGAATCAAATGCGTTTTTTGCAGGAAGTAAAACAGAATCAAGACATTCTTAATCAAGACTTTGTATCCTTGCAAGAAAAAATCAATGATTTGCAATATGTTTCATATGGTGACACATTGGTTTGGAAAATAAAAAACTTTCATGAGAAAATAAGTAACTTGAGCAATTAGTCTTATGCTTGAAGATAGAAATCAAAATATGCTATCGACAAGATAATCAAAGAAAAAGATGTTCTTCGTTTTCTATAATATTATTGAATAACACATAAACGATTTAACGTTACATTCAACATAGTATATTGTCACGCATAAATACAATGAATGAGTAAGCTATTGATGAATTGATGGAAGCAATTATCAATTCTATCGATCGGCTAAATTTCTTTATACTTGCAGCTACTCTTCTTCACCCAATTTTTTGTGGAACTCACATATTTTACTAAGGAAAATAGTGAATGTAAGTTGTAACGCAAGGTTTTTCGCTCGAACATCCGAATCCCAAAGTAGTAACCTGAATCAATGGGTGACAATGGAAGAATTGGTCGATGATTTTTAATGCTTCTGACGGTCATAGCAATGCTGGCAAAGGTGCTCGCAATAGACTTTAGCAACCGAAGTTATGATTAGTGAATACGTTTCCAAAGCAATCCAAGACAGCAGACTTCTTTCCTATAATTTCTTAGTAAGAAAAAAAAGATATTGATTGGCATTAACAATAAGACTTAGATTGTTCGAGAATATTTCAAAATTTTACTTGAAATTGTAATGGTGTCAATACTTTTCTGAGTATTCTAGACCGTGTAATTTTTTTAATTTTTATGCAGATTTCCGATTATATTCAAGATTTACTTGACCTATTTGACATTAATATAATGAAGCTGAAAAAAAAAACATATGAGTTTCCCATATTTGCTTCAAAGAGACTGCACTGGCAGGAGTTTAAGCTTAATTTCTAGTTGATGCACAATCTGAAAGGCAAACATCAATTTATATTCACCTCCATTCTATTCATTACCTACTGGCTATAAAATGAGAGCTCGTCTTTATTTAAATGATGATGATTCAACAACAAAGTCTCAGTTTGTTTATACGATCAAACACCTGCACAACGACATATTATCGATTCATTTCGACCAGACATAAGGTCGAATAGTTTTCAACGACCTCGATCGGATATGAATATAGCCCAGTGGAATACCTAAATTTTTCCCATTGGATATGATTAGATAGGAAGGAAATTCATATGTCCGAGACGACACAATGTTCATTAAAATTATAGTTGATTTTGAAGAAATACAGAAAACCTTATTGCCGTATGCTTTGAGTCTCAATCCTAGCCTACCAATGCATATTCAACAAGCGATGATAAAGCAAGAAGCGGAGCAAAGATCTCAACAACAGTCTGGGAAGCAAGTCGAGATATCCCGAAAGTAATCTACCGTTGTATCTATATCAAGTACTGCATCAATAATTAAGAATCTCCTATTTTGAACTTCTATTACCTTATCAAGTTTTGAAGCAATAATCCAGAGTATCCTATTTTGAAGTCATCCCATCTTTTTATTATTCAAAATATAAATGATCTGCTACTTTAGCCTGCTCTTTTTTTTTATAATCATGGAAAGTTTATCAATCTTCTATAAAAAATATATTGAAGTCATTGATTGTCTGATAATATATAATTCTACTGGAAGGAATTTTATTTTAAAGAGCCATTATTCAGATAGTTTTTAGACAATTGTTTAAACAATAATAAATAGATTTTATTTGATCGATATCACATGAGGATAGAGACTGGCTTCTAAACGATAAGCTTATACATTATTGTTGAGATTCAACGTTTGTATACATTTTTGTGAGAAAATTTTCTTTTTATTCTTTACATTTAATGAAGTATTGTATTTGATTCAATAACATTTTAAGTCTGATGAAAACGTAACAGTGTCATATTATTGATTGACGTCTCATATTGAATATTGAATTAATAGCACTTACCAGGAAAGTCCCCAACTCTTCAATCGCTTTTGAGTCGAAACCATGTGCGTCATGTAGGTCCTAATGAGCTATGAATACCCTGAAAAGAGTTCGAGCTGCTAGCTTATTATTATTGAGATACTACATTTTTATGGTATTTTTAATTAAGCACAATGCCGTGGTCCCCCTCAGGAACCAGAAAAACTGAATTTTGAGTTTTGACCTCAAACTTTGCACAGAAACAGACGTCAGTGAGAGTAGTTTATTGTGAAAGTTTCAGGTCTTTTGGCCATTCCTATCCTAAGATACAGCTAAAAAGGGTGTTTTTACACTGCTCATATATCCCCGACAGGTTCCAATGTTCTTATTTCAAAATAGGAACAACCAAAAGATCTGAAACTTTCACAATAAGCAACTCTCAATGAGGTCTGTTTCTGTGCCAAATTTGAAGTCGAAATTCAAAACTCAGTTTTGCTGGTGCTTCTGAGGGGAACCACGGCATTCTGCTTAACAATATCGTAAAAATGTAGTATCTCGACAGTAATAAGCTAGCAGCTCGAACTCTTTTCAGGGTATTCATAGCTCATTAGGACCTACATGATGCACATGGTTCCAACTCAAAAGCGATTGAACAGTTGGGAAGCTTTCCTCGTTAGTTGAATCATCTTGTTGAATCAGAACTTTACTTTCTATGATTCGCCGTAAATATATGAATAAATATAAGTGTAAGAAAGACAAACTCTGGATTCTTATCATTCACTTACGTTTACTTTCGATAAATAAAGAACATTTAATCCTTTTTGATCTAAACTTACAAGGATATGATAAAGAATATTAATTGTTGAAAATTCTTCTCACAAATTTTTCCTTTTCAGTACTTACCACTTAATGTTGATATTATTAAACGAATGACAATTTATTTAGTGTGATGAACTCGAGGAATAGCTCTATTGCTACTGTCGATAATGATATTTATTTGAACTACTTCATCACTCCAGTTGTATCAATATTAATACAAACACATGCTTATATACTAGTCACACAAGGAAAAAGAAAGAAAAACACAGTTTGTCAAGGTCAACATTATGAATAAATTATGTTGAGAAAAGAAGAGAAGAGAAGTGAAGTGTACCGGTGAATAATCTGCCTTTATAAATAGCACAAAAAAATAATAAAATCAAATTTTTCATGATGATATATTTTATGAAAACGTTGCGTATACTTCTTACCGGAAGTATTATGGTTAATCATATCTGAGTCTAAGAGTATTGGTAAATTGAAGGTTCATATTCCCACTTTTTGACTCTTTTTACTTTTCTTCCTCCCTAGAATAAGCAGATATATACTCAATGTGAAAGTTTCAGTATTTCTCTTCCCTGCATGTGAAAATTTCAGAATTTCTTTTTTTTCTTGGGTGTGAGGGTGTGAGTGTGAGTGTCTGAAGTTTTTGTTTAAACTCACACCCCACATCCACATCCACCCATACCCACACCTGCCATTTCGATTTTTAAATTTATATTAGACTATCTTAAAAGATTGGTTTTTCTCATAAGATTTAGATAAAAAAATAAACCAATCTTTGTTCGAAATATTTCTTTTTGCGTTGTAAATATTTTTGAAGTTCAAATTCAAATGAACGAGCTAAATGTTATTCTTTTTCCTCTTGTTTATTGAGAGATAAGATGAGACGTTAAATCGTATAAAATATCTATTTAAATTGAAAAATGAATTGAAGTAAAAATTATCAACTTTTGTATTGTCTGGAAAGAAAATTGTCTCATGTTCCTGATAATGTAAGTTTTATTTATTTCAACATGAAATTAAATGCAACAACATCTTTCTAGAACAATCGTGCTCTTTTAACTATCAGTAATCGAATTATCGAATGGAGATACAATGAAATGTCTCCTTACTAGTCATTGTCTAATTTTGAACGATTCCGATCACGTCACATTATACAGAAATCAATATCGATTTGTGCACTCCATATGAAATGAATATTATTGAATAACTATGAGTTTTTTTTTGCTTCTTTGTCGTCACTCATCGTCTTATCTTTCAGTGAATATTTTATTGTTGTTGTGTGCAGTCCTTCTCATAGAGTACTTATTTGATCAGAAGTTATAAAAATACGAAAAAAAAAAGTCAAACACATATAGTAATGGAAGATAAGGGTCTGACATGCTGCAAAAGTAAGATACAAATCATTCAAAAAAAACAACCCAACGGTATAAGATACAGAAAACATTCTAATCAACAACTACACATTATTCAAACTACGAAGAACTTGGTGACTTTAATAATTTAATCCTAGTAAGTAATTTCTTAGGAAAGTTCGACATACAAAAGAAATTATATTGATTGTTATTTACTTTGAGCAAAGAAACTGTGAATATTTTACTTCTTCTTTTTTCCCATTCTATTCATTGATTTTCAGTTATTAAAGACATAAGAAGGCAAAAATGAATATAATGCGCTGGCGACTTTAATAAGACTACGTATAAAGGGGACACGAAAACAATGGCAAAATTTGAATGTTGGTAAGAGTAACAGTGAAAAAGCTTCCAATTACAGCAAAATCCGTTACAGTCAGGTCAGGAAGCTTCGCTTCACTCACTGATATAACAAAGTTAGAGGACCCACCTTAACCACTCACTGTAATATGAAACATAAAGAGCCAATCATTTCGAGCCACAAGACAATGCGCAAATCATTGATGAAAGAAATTTGTTCTCAACGACTATGAGTAAAAATCAGATCGAAAAACTTTGCGTCACATGTCGTATTTCGAAGTCAGTGTACAATATTTCGTGCCTTTCATCAAATTGGCAGGGGGGCGGCGAAAACTTCAGGTTCACAGAGAAATTCATCGAAATGACTCCATCAAGCTTCGGACGATAGCGAAATTTGTAAGGATGAATGCTAAAAACGCCACCAAGTATGCGAATCTTTGAGAGTCACGGAGAAA